GTATCTAGGGATGAGATTAGCCAGAGACCAGGGGAAGAGAAGAGTGTAGGACCCCCACAGAAAGTGGAAAATATGAAGAGTATGCTGAATGTAACACTGAAGGAGAAATAGGAATGGTAGGAAGAGAGCAAAGAGAGATGGAGTCATAAAAACTGAGGAAGCACCAGACTGCAAGAAGAGTGAGGTTGACAGTGTCAAAAACAGCCAGTAGATTCAGGAGGATAAGGACAAAGTACCATTTTTGAGCTTTGACCACAAAGAGCTCACTAGAGACTACTTCTGCACAATTGAAGGTCTATGACCTTAAACCTCAGGCAACATAAAAACCTAAGGCATGTCCTTGTTTCCAAAAATGGAAGAAAAATTATAAATGACAAGGACATTACAATGAGAAATGCTTGGAAAATAACCTCAGAAACTCCACAGGTGGGGGTTCAAATAACTGCCCTACACTCACAGGTAGACTGCAGTACTCCATGTTCAGAGTTGTCAGAAGTAGCTTGGTATCTCTGTCCCCCAATTCCTTGCCATTTTTTACACGGCATGAAAGGGAGAAAGAGAGAGTCAGAGTGAAACCAAAAGCAGATCTCTATTTGTTATTAATGGTGGAAGAACTAAATGTTGCCTCACTGGTTGTTGTCAAGGCAAAAGGAATGAGGTTATCAAACCATAAAACTACTATTTAGTTCAAGTATTAAATGCTTACTGACGGAGCACTAGTAAATTACTCCTGAGCAAATATATTTCATTGGATCACATTCAAGCGAAAGCAAAAAAGGATCGTTCATTGAGACCAAGTCAGCTGTGACTGAATGGAGAGGCTTTTTCACAAGCAGCAGAATCTAGAGTGAATGCTTATTTCCTAAGTGGATTTTTCCTCGTAAGTGAATTGCGTAGTTTTTAGTGTGTATAGAAAGCACAGTGTGCAATAAATAAAGATCAAATGTAAACTTTTTGCTTTTTTCACTCTATTTGCATATACACGCCTTTGATTCTGAGAGTACATGGCGTTGAATATGATCAGCACTTAATGACACTAATGGGTCTATTTTTACTTGCAATCTTAAAAGGCATTAAATAAAAAAGGCACGTGCTTGTCATTGAACATTGGAGAAGCCAGATGTTTTCCTCTGATGGCAAAGAAATGATATGGGAAGGAACAATATCATTGCAGTATGTGATCTGCAAATTTCCCCATAGCACGCATTCTTTGTCAGTGTATAGAATCCATCTGTGAATGGAGATGCTATTGAAAATTTTCAGCAGCAGCATAATTGTCACCCTTTCTATTGTAACCCAGATTCCCTATGCAAGTGGCATTGGTATTCTCTGTTGCAGAGCCATAGGAGTCTCTAAAAGTTATTGTTTTGGCTTCTGGTAGCAGTAATACCAGTTTCATACCCCTCCTCCCCATGCTGTATGAAAATTAGCATATGAATATGAACATACATAACTCAAGGATGCTTTATGCAAAATGGGTGAGACAACAGGTCATTTAAAAAGTAGCAATCCACTAATTTGTATATCCTATTTCTGTGCATATACCTTGCTTGTGTGTGAAGTTAGAAATATTAAGTGGAAGCCTGTTTTATTAGTACATGTATTCTAGTAAAAAGCCATTAGTGATACTGTAGGAACTTGAGGACAAGTCAACCACCTGTGAATCATTTTGTTTTTCCTGTAAGCCCAAACTATGGTTGGTCCTATAAGACATGTGGTCAGGCCACCTGATGTTGGCACCCATTTTGGGTCTGGTACCATAAAGAAAACGGTAAGTGGAAAAGTAGAATAACTTGCACGAACATGAGTTTTAGTAGCTATGAAAAACTGAGGATAGTAACTTTTATGTCAAGAGGAGCAGAAGTGGAGGATGTTACAAGAAAGAAAAAAGAAAGGATTTTGAACCAATGGTTTCCAATAAAAGAGGGCCTTCCTATAGGATCGGAGTCTCATTTTCACAGTTCTGCAGGCAAGTTTTTAGGGTATGTCTACACTACAAGCACTATAACATTGCACCATAGACCCTTACTACAGTAGCAGAAGGGATTTTTCCAGCACTTTAATTCTTTTGTAGACCTGGCTGCAACCAGTGGGAATTAGATTGATTTATGTCACATAAGGTGTGAAAGTTTTCACAGCCCTGATAAATGTAACTAGGTTAGCTCAAGTTTTAGGTGTCGATCAAGCCTCCATGTTTCACTGTTACCTTACAGCAGACTGTCCAAACCCAGATTTTTAATTCACTCCCTTTTCTGTACAATGTTGCTTTCAAAGTATTCACTGCACTGAGCTGCCCAATTAGGCTTTGATTTGCAAATTCTAATTAGCAATGAACACAACATTAAAGTAACAGCTCTAGGTAAGAAACAGCTTATGTGAGAAAACAAGAAGCATATTAATATGAACTACTCATACATATTGTTTGGTTGTAAATAAACTTGGAGCACTTGGAGAAGAGACATGGGCAGCTTAATGAAAACTTCTGAGTATTGTGTAGCAGGAGTAAAAAGAATAAAGAAGTCAAATCCCCAGAGCATTAGGATGTTTAAAGAGAGATAGAAAATACTAAAATATTAAAAACTACAATTAAATGGATGGTATGCACTCAACAGAAATACCATGTTTAGTTCTGGCCACCCTCTCAGAAGAATATTGCTGATATAGACAGGGTTCAGAGATGAGTGAAGAAAATGGTGTGACATGGAAAGACTTTCACGGAAGAAAAATTTGGAAACATCCGAGCTTGTTAGATGACAGAACATGATACATGCACACAATAAAATGAATTGTATCCTTCATTTTCTTTTACTCAAAATACAAGAAAGTGTTTAATGAAACTAGAAGGGAACAAGTTAGAACTGTGAGGGTACGTCTAGACTACATGCCTCTTCATTTAAATTTACATGGCTGCCGCACTGAGACGATCAGCTGTTTGTTGGCTCAGCGTGGTAGTCTGGATGATCCGCGGTCGACATCAAAGGCATTTGTCGACCTCCCAGGTATGCCTCATGCCAGAGGCAAATGTCGCCAGAGGCATGTAGTCTAGACATACCCTTGAGGGAAAGACTTTTTTTACATAACATTAACAAATAAAAACATAAGTATGGCCATATTGGGCCAGACCAAGGATTCATCTAACTCAAAATCCTATCTTCTGACACTGGCTAGTCCCAGGTGCTTCAGAGGGAATGAACTGAACAAGCAATCATCTAGTAATCCATCCTCTGTCCACTCCCAGATGCTCACAAAGAGGTGAAGGACATTCAAAGAATGGTGTGGAATCTCTTCCTATTCCGAACTACTGTTACTCCTCATGGAATGAGGTGTACCGGTAGCTTGGAATAAGAAGCCTAATCCGAACTACCTAGTTCGTGCCGCGTGTAGCCGCGGGCACGGAGTCCGAACTAGCGGACATTTAAAAATGGCGGCGCCCGGCAATATGCAAATGAAGCCCAGGAAATTCAAATCCCGGGCTTCATTTGCAACTCCGGTTGCCTACATTAACCAACCTAGTTCGAACTAGGGTGGTAGTGTAGACATACCCTTACATAGTCCTCTTTTTTTAACCCTGTTATAGTTTTGGCCTTCACAACAACCTGGGTACGTCTAGACTACATAGCTCCGTTGATGGAGCCATGTCAAATAGTTTACTCAGCATAGTCAATGAGTAAAATAAAAATGGCCACCATGCTGTGCCGACGATCAGCTGATCCGGCACAGAGCAGCAGTCTAGACGTGGATCGGTCGACAAGGAAAGCCTTTGTCGACTGCTCCGGTATACCTTATGAAACAAAGGCTTCCCTTGTCGACTGCACCACATCTATACTGCCATGCTGTGCCAGATCAGCTGATCGTCGGAACAGCACGGCGGCCATTTTTATTTTAATGAAGCAGGGATTATTTAAATCCCCGCTTCATTGACTATGCCGAGTAAACTATTTTACATGGCTCCGTCGACAGAGCTATGTAGTCTAGACATACCCCCCCTGACAAAGAGTTCCTCACATTCATTGTATAAATAAGTACTTTCTTTTGTTTATTTTAAAACGGTAGAATATTAATTTTATTAGGTGCCCCTCTATTGTGTTATGTGAAGGAGTAAATAAGACTTCCTTATTTATTTTCTCTATACCAGTCAAGATTTTATAGATCTCTCACACATCCCCCCTTATCTCTTTTCAAAACTGAAAAGTCCCAGTTTTCTTAAATCGCGCACTACACAGAAGTTGTCGCATCCCCCTAAATATTTTTGTTGCCTTTTTCTGTATCTTTTCCAATCTATCTTTTTTGTGATGGGGCATCCAGAGCCACACACAATTTTCAACATGTGGGCATGCCATGTATTTATATAGAGACATTGTGATATTTTCGGTCTTGTTATATAGCCCTTTCATAATATTTCCTAACATTCTGTTAGCTTTTCCTTATTACCAGATATCATTGAGGCCAAGAACTTGGCAAGATTCAAAAATTTATATGGGTAATGAGCACATCCAGGTTACATTGGATAGGATTTCAAAAGCTAGATATAAATTCTCATGCTCCCTGACTTAAATCAATCATTATATTACAGGAATAAAAAGAAAATTCAACCATGACTAGGTTATACCATATATTTCCATCTTCCTGAAGCATCTAATTCTGGCTATTTTTGACTTGTAGGTCAACAAATACAAGAGCTGGTGAGACATTGTCACTAGCGTTGGCCAAGATACTGAATTTCATTTGCATGAAAATTAGGTTAGAACCCTGTAAGAAGTTCAAGTTGTTCAAGTAACCACCACAGAACAAATTACAACATTCATCTCCTCCTCTTGCGTCATGGTAGTTAAATACTGTCTCTGGACCTTTTCTGGGTAATAAATTCCTTTGTCAGTTTAGACATATGACCCCAGAAGCCAGCTCTGCAAAATGTAAGGTATTTCTCTAAGGTGAGTTCCCAGACTTGGGATATTCTGTCTGAATAGCAGTAACTTTACACAAAGACAAGGATTCAGTACCTCCCCTCCAAATTTAGGTCATTCACAGAGCAATACACTTGAGTCACCATCTGCAGTTCAGATCCATGTCCATCGTGACTGGTGAAAGATTTCCAGAAAAAGCACCTAAAAAGAGACAAGATACAGGACTAGTTGGGCTGATCTGGTAAGCAATAGCTATGCTCCTGTTAATCGGATTCATTGCAACATAATGGCTGTAGTATTAGCTCCTGGAAAAGATGTTTATATTTATATCTTTTTTTCACTTGGCAATTTATTTCTCTGGGAAGTAGGAAGTTCTCTCTGCATCTGTATCAAAGCCCTGAGGGTTTTCCCATTTCCTCTTCATTTCACATTTCTGCCAATATCCCTTTGGCTAAGACAGACCCAAGAGAAATCATTTCATCACCTCCTATGGACCTTGCATGTCAACTGGAGGGAGCAACACAAGACACTTCCCCTTTAAGCAGATGAGAACAACTCTCTCTGTAGCAGAATCAGTTGCATCACAACTCAGAGCTTAGCTAATTCATCAGAATTAGTTAGAATTGGATATGGCTGAAAACTGCTGAATTTCACAGTACCAAAGTCACTATTTTTTTCCATCCACTAACTTTTTACTATCAAAATATACGAACGCCTCCTGGAACTAGAGAGACATGTGATATTTTCAGAATAAAAAGCTATTTGATTTGGTCCTAAAGGAGTGCTGTTTTCATCAAAGGAAGCATCTCATACTGTTACATGGAAGAAACTTTGCTCTCATCCTTAAGGACAGGGCATTTTCTAAAGGTTGTTAGAAACCTGATTTCCGCATATATAGCTGTGATCATTTTTTGCTACTCTTACTTGAAAAGATACTTTTTCCCACACACACACCCATACACTTTGCCATTTGATGCTGAGATTTTTAGTTTAATCAAATGTCTTTGTTCCACAATTAGTACAGTACATTTGGCACCAGCACAAAGGAAATAGATCAGTGGTCCCCAAACTTTGGGGGCTGCCGGATGTCCGGGGGCAGGTCCACTCATGTGCCATGCGTCCGGGGGCGGGACCGATCATGGGCCACGGGCCCTGGGGCGGGGCCACACATGCGCTGCGCGCCCAGGACGGGCACTGGCATGTGCCGTGACCCCAGGCAGGGGCCGCCCATGCCCCCAGGGCCAGCACCGGCATGTGCCACATGCCTGGGGGCAGGGCTGGCCCAGATTGTTCCGCGGGCACACATAAATCTCCTGGCGGGCGCCATGGCGCCCACGGGCACTGCGTTGGGAACCACTGAAATAGATAATAAGATTATCAGAATAGTGGATTCTATAACACAGTGACTGGGGGGAGGAAGAAGGGAAGGAAAGAAATGAACGGTTATGTTTACCAGGATTCTCAAACATTTTGTATTGGTGACCCCTTCCACAGAGCAAGCCTCTGAGTGCAATGGGTTTATCTTTTCTTACTGTTTTAAAATTAAGACTAAAATATATTTAATTAAATTATAGTTATACGCAGAATGGTTATTTTTAAGTGGAATTTTATTTTAATATTTGGCAGCAATTAATCACCAGAAGCAGCCAAACATCGGTGAGATGGCTGATGATGTTTATTTCTCACAAGAAGTTTGATTCTTGGCACTGTTTTAGAAAGGATGCATTTGAGGTCATCCCTCACATCAGGCTGATTTTGGGTTTTCATCTTTATTGTGAGAAGGCGGGAGAATCCACTTTAATATTTGTAGGTAGTGGGAAATGGCAGAAGGACTCTCACAACTCTCTCAGAAACTAGTGGGTGTTCACTTGGAATTGAGCACCAGAACTGCTTTGGAGGCAGCTACATGAATTTTGCCTTCCTTTCATCATCATTGACCATGTTGACAAACTGTTCCTGTGCTTGAATATCTTCAGTGGGAAACTGTTTCCTGTTGAAGAACGCTTTCATCATGATGTTTGAACAAAGTGCTTTTGGTAGTGCTGGGAAGTAGTGCAAGAACTCTTTGTGAAGGATTCTCAAATGCTCATTGATCATTGACTTGAGAGCACTATCAAGGTTGATTTCCTCTACCTCACTGAACAAAGAAAGTGTCAGTAATATGCTGGATCTGTCCGTGTCCAACTTCCTGCACCACAGATCCAACTTCATCTACAAGATTCTGATTATATTAATTAGGTATATGAATGTTGAACATTTCCTCTGAAGGACAGACTGAGGTCATTAAGGCTATCAAAGATATCAACTAGGTATACCAAGGAGAGAAGCCATTTCTTGTCACTGAACTTTTTGTTCAGCTCTCGTTTTTCTTTTTGCAGGAAAAACTCCACCATCTCTCTATGAAACATAAAAACATGCTTTAATGTGCAAGCCATTGGACTTGAGTGTGGCAAAGGAGAGTTTTGTATTCACCACCCATTTTGTTACAAAGCTCTTAAAACAGATGACTGATCAGACCATACACTTTAATGTAGTTCACTACTCCTATAACAACATCCACCACAGCATTAAGATACAGCACTTGATAATGGATTTCATAATAAGTAACAACCACGTACAGGGATACATATCTTAACTTCTGCTGAAAGCCAGATCATGCAGCCATTGTAACTGGAGCATCTTTGGCACAGATACCACAATTTTTTTTCTACCTCATGCCATTGCTTCTGAAAAAAGGCATTTGTGTTATTGAAAATGGCCTGTGATGCTGTGATTGGTCTTTTTCTTGTTCACAGATTAAACTCATCCTTAACATCCCTGGCATTAATATACTGTAAGAACACTATCACTTGTGCACAGTTAGCAACATCAGTAGTTTCATCAAGTTATAGGCTGAACATACTGAAAACAGAATGTTTAATTTTGTGCACAACTTGTTTTTTGATATCTTTAGACATTTGACATATTCTGTATTTCACAGTGTCAGTCGACGTAGAAAGTACATACAATTTTTTGGCAGTATCACTGCCAACCATAAGCGACACAATATCTTTGTGTGCTGGCAGAACACGCTCCTCATCTCTCATATGTGACGTTTTGGTACGGACGATTCATAGTGACACAACATAAGAGCATCACAGCTGAGGATATTTGTTGTTGGAAACTTTCACATACATTAAACCTGGCTTTCTTTGTTGCTTCTTCTGTGCATTTGAAAAAAAATCATTTTTCAGGTTTTATGCTCAGGATGTCTTATTTCAAGACGTTGCTGCTGTTTACATGATTTCATCAATTCAGCATACAAAACTTCACAGTGAATGATGCATTGCAATTTTTTCTATTCTAGAGGTAATAATGCAGGTAAAAGAGGGTTTTTGTAAGATTCAAGATACTTATTTTATTTTGTGGTTTTAGCAGTAGAGGTGGCCATTATTTTCAGGAAAAAACCATGCAACTATGTGATTGACTTAAATAAATACTTCTTTAGCTGCTAAGCTACTGTTGTCCCAGTCTAAAGGGCAGCCATAGGAAAAATGGCACTCTGAGCAAACATCTATTCAGAACCCTTTCTTTGGAGGGGACCCCCAAGGAATTGATAAGGGAAATGTGTGGGGTGTGTTTTTCTCCTTCTCAGCTGGGGACACATCAGAGATGGGTGACAAGAATGACGGAGACAGAAAAACTTCCATATAGAGACTGAACAAAATTGAGACTACTTAGCTTAGAGAGGAGACAAGATGAGATAAAGCTGTCCAAAGTAATGAACAATGTAGAGAAAGATAGGAGGAACAAGTAAAAGTCAGATCTTTCTCAAATACAAGAGTAAGCATTCAATTACACTGAAAGGGAACAAACTAAAGAACATAATTTCTCACAGCATGGTTTGCCCAAGGGCATTATTTCCATGATACATCAGAGGCCAAAAGCTTAGCAGAGTTCAGTGAGAAGACTGGACATTTATATGGATAATGAGAACCTTTCTGGTTAAAATAATAAGAATGAAAAACAAGACGTATTCCTCACGCTACCCCCACAGGCAGATTCTCAGCTGGAGTAAATTTAAACACCACAATTTACACCAGTTGATGACCAACTGTACACAGTTTTGTAGGAGAAACTCATGCTCCAGGATACAAGCCAATCTCTGCTGGAAGTTAAAGAGACATTCTTCCTATAGGCATGGCCTGCAGCATCCATTATTGGCTGCTCTCAGACCGTTCTAAATTACCTGAAGCACCGATGTGATCCATTGCAGCAATTCCTACATTCCTAGAAATGCAAATATCTTAAGCTGGAACAGGATGTGTCCTACCATACAATTTTACATTGTGCTTTTGATTGCTGAGATCACTCTCAGGCAGTGACATTCAGCCCTGTAACTCATCACAGAACTGCTTGAGTCAGTATTCTTCAGTTTGAGTTACAGTGCAACAGTCTCCTTCAGTGGATGCAGAACTGCCTCAAGAAATGAAAACTTAATATAAAACCATTGACAGGCAAGATACTTGCAACGGGTGGTAATGTGCAGGTCTACTAAATCTTTGACTGAGTGCTGCTTGAATTTTTAACAGTGAAATAGCTGTTTTGATTAACACCCTATTACAGTATTATTCATATCACAAATGTATTAGTGATGTTGGCGTACCACCATTGTTAGGATTGCAACAAGACATCTGTTTAAAGATCAACTTTTCTAAGAACTGGTCTACGTGACCGATTTAGGTCAACTTAACCCTGAAATCATCTAAACGACAGCGTTCCTAGTGGTACAAGCCACCCATTACACTGGCTTAATAAATCCAGCCTGAGAAAGGTGTTGATGTAATGAAAATGATGTAGACATTGCATAACTTACATTGCCTCTTAGTTTTCAGCCCTGCCACTTGAGCTAGACAGCCCAGCACCCCCCTAACACCTCTCCAAGAGGGACTGGGGTGTAGTATGAAGAAAGCCTGAATCCAGCAGCCTCCCAGGCTCATGCCATTCTCCTCTTCCCCTCACTCTCTCACTGGGAGGCAGCCAAGCTCAGATTCTCTTTTTCCTGCCCCCACATATTTCTCACCAAGAGGCTGCACCAGAGCTCCAGCAGTCAGTACCCCACTATGCCCCACACTTTCAGTTTACATTAGTGGAAAGGCTCCTGGTGAGGACACATGGGCTGTGTCCAGACTCAGGGGTTTTTTCG